GTAAGTCCTTGTCGGGGAGTATTTCTAGCGGAGGTGACTAACTGGATTGCAGGCAGCTCAACTTGCGGTGTGCCGGTGCATCGCAGGAGTTGGAGGTTCTGGCGGGTTGGCCGTTTTGGAGGGTGTCCTTGGTGATATGGGGTATCTCAAGGTACGAGCTATAGCATCAGCTCTGATGTCAAGTTTTCTGTAAGTTCAGGTATTTCTGTTAAACACAAATACTGGTATTTGTCATATTTTTCCCCAGAATTTTAGTGCCTGTTGTTGGCCAGCATGTGGTGGCTGGATATCTGAACGAGCCTCTTGGAGATGGACTTGTTGGGTCCCTGTATGCCATTCTTCCTTCTTTCTCCTGTGTTTTCAAATTCACACCAAATCTCACCATATCAGGCCATGGCTGTAGCAGCATTGGACATCATTTCACACACACACACACACACACACATATATATATATATTTATGTACGGATATTCCATATCATAAACCCTTTCCTGATTATAGTACTCTATTTTGGTATATACAAATATATCGCAGGTGGGTATGTATGCCTTGCATGAAAAAAGGGAAAACGCAGAGGATATAGTTATTGAGAATATTTCCCAAACAAAAGAAAACCACCCCGCCCCAAATGCGCCAGATTTTCCTGTATCGTTATATGCAATAGCATGGACAAAAAGAAAACAAAACAAAAGAAAAAGAAAACCCAAACCCAAACCCAAACCCAAACCAAACCAAACCGTGCAACAAAAATAAGAAAAGATGAACAAGCAGCGTCAATTACTCTCCACCTCTAGTGCCTGGCTAATAGCCTCCCCCTGCCTCTTCAGCTCCTGATCGCGCAGGAACTGCGCGTACTTGGAGAGCGGGTTATGGATCCCACACTCGGTCTTCTGCTGGCCCTTCCACCGCCCAGATCTCTCATCCTCATGATCCTTCACGGGCGCTGTCGAGTGCCAGTCGCCGATGCTCTTATACCCCTTATCCAACAGCTCATTATACGGCACGTTATTCGCCGTGATGTATTCCTTAACCTGCGCAAACGACCAGTTTGCCAGCGGATTGATCTTGATGAGGCCCGCCTCGTCGACCTCGATGACGTCCAGGTCGCCGCGCTTGCCACCCTGGCTGCGTCTGCGGCCCGTGAGCACGGCGTTGACTTGCAGCTCGCGATAGGCTCGTCGAGCCGGCTCGACCTTGGCTACCCAGTCGTAGAGCTGGTCATTGGATTCCCAGAACCTGGGGCCGTATTTCCGCGAGAATTCCTCGGCGGTCGAGACGCTGTCTGGCTTGTAGATGTGGATGTTTGTCAAGGGATAGTGTTTGCGGATGCGGTCTACAAGGGACAGCGTCTCTTTGAAATGGTGCAGTGTATCCAGGAAGATGAGATCGACCATCTGTGAGCCGTGGATGTTGAGTTTGGAGATCATATCGAGTGTTACGAGGCCTGTTAGGCCGAATGCTGTGGTTTGGTAGAGGCCTGGTAACGTCGTGATGCACCAGCGGAGGATATCTGAGGATATCGTAAGTTTTTCTGAATTTCAGGCTACAAAGTATATCTGCAATAGACGGCCCTAGAGCGGCTTTTGTGATGTGTGAACATACCCTGGGGTTCTAGGAGCTGAAGGTGCTTATTGAGAAATTTCAAATGGGGTTTGGTAAAAACGAGTTCTGGCAGGCTGGCATCACTGGCGCTGGCACTGGCATATCCAGATTCGGTCTCCGTGGCCTCTGTATCAGAAGGATAGCCGGAAGAGATTTTGGACGGCATGTTGATATAGAAAGAAGAATTGCTTTGATTTTCTTGGACAGCTAACGAATTGAAGCACATCCGAGCCAGGGCCGAAGAATCGATTGTATATATATGTATGATATTCGAATGAAGGGAGGTGAGTATGATAAATATAGGTGACCATACAAACACGAGACAAAGACGAATGCTGACAAACGGGAGATGTGAGATAGGAACAGGCCAATGACGACGTCTTAGAAATCAAAGCAGCAAAGATGATCCAGATGTGCAATGGAAGGAGAGAAGAGGGAAAGCGAACGAAAGAGAAAGAGGAGAGGAGGGAAGCGAGTCAATCCCTCTTCTCCTGACAGGGAAAAGCGAGAGTTGCCAGAGACCACACACAACAACCCACGAAAACCCTCACCAACCACCCTCGAACAGCCCAGACTGTCTAAAATCACATCATCCACGAAAAAGTGCCCTCTCGCTATTCTGCACGGGGCTTGCTGCAGACTCCACCGCCAGACGTCCTGATTCTGGCGCAATCCGGCGTGGAATCCCACCAGCAGGCCCGCGGAGCGAGATAGTCGGGGCGATAATAGAGACGTGGAGCCGCAGATGTACAGGGAAGTTGTGGTGGATTTGCTCATGATTGTTGCAAATCACGCAATTTGAGCCTGCATTAGCCAAGTCTGGCGATGGTGTCAAAACCCAATTAGCTAACGTTAATGGAAGGGAAAACAATCAATAAATAGTGAAATAAAAGAAAACATAAAGAACCATCAATGAGACATCCATGGAATATTCCATCGATGATTAGATATAGATGAGAGCTGTGATAATATTTCTTGATGTATAGCGCATCATCATCGCAAATTAGTCGTTGCAGTTGTGGGGGAGACGAAAGATGCGAGAATCAAGTTAAGAGTTTCAGGAAAACCCATATAACGCAATGACTCAGCGTTGTCACATCGATAAAGACCGACCAGCGGCTTCATGAAGTATATCGTCACAGCGGGAGACGGCTGATGCCCATCGTGCTGCCATCGACCGGAAGCTGTTCGTCCTGTAGTCCATGCGCGGGGGATTCTCGCGGAAATCTCTGGATCACGTGCAAATCCATGTCTTGCTGAGATAATCCAGCTTCTAACTAACTAGTTAGTTAACTAACTAGTTATTAGCTGTTGGGGGGATTGGATTGGGTGATTCGTACCCTCTATACCACCACAGCGCTGGTGGTGATTGAGCTCTGTTGCCCTAGTGGCCTAATATTAACTAACTAGTTAACTAATTAACTTAACTAGTTAGTTCTTTTGTGGTTTGGATGTGTCTTTCATTTTCCGCCAACCTCTTCGTCTTTAGAGCCACGATCAATGGGAGGGTTTAGGGGGGTAGTTAAGGGGCAGGCAATGGAATCTCAACCATGGAATGATATATGTTAAGGAACCACTGTTGCGAGGGATTTCCCGGCTGGGAATTTGAACACCCGTTTCATGTTCCTTTGGGTTCAAATCAACGCCCTGGATGTCAGGTATATACAGCTAGGTTAATTAATTGCTAACTGTCGTGTGTCGTTTATGAGCAGATTTTACTTCTAAAACTTACAATTGTGCTGTCATCTTGCTATCTCCATCCGTATCCATGCCTGACACACTTTGAATTACACAGGGGCTATCCTATTTTAAGGTACAGCTTTTTCTCTGATGAATCATATCAATCATCTCCCAAACATAGAGGCTTCTCTTCAGTTGTCATGAATCACTTACCTCTGGTACCCCTCTACTGAATACCCCGCCCAGATCAAGAAATGCAGGATTGTGTGTGGCATCTTCAATGGGTTGCTAAGCTCTCTCGCTTCGAAAATGCTCGAACCAGCTACTCCCATTTTTAGCAAAGACTGTCGGATCCAATTCATTTTCATTTCCATCCTGATTCATCACCTTATCATTCCAAACCTTCCGACCAACACCCTGTCCTGACCGTTGCTCCTAGTTTGGGTGCCACATTTGATACTGTCTCCCTATCAGCAGATAAGCAGTTCAAGTATTCATCGCTTCTCGACAAATAGAATCAGCCGCATTGGTAAGAAACGACCGTTTGCGCTTCTTCAAACTCAGAGAACTTACCCTTCGAGCACATGTGGGTGCCTGAGAATCCATGGCAATTTGAGCACGAATGGGACGTGGAAGTTCATCACGCAGGAGAAAAGCATGTTTCAGGGATATAAGTACACGGAAAGCACCATGATCCAGCAAAAATGTCCTGGTGAAATTGTCCATTTCGTCGACATGGAGAAGGGAGTCTCCATCTGTCCTAGCCAGCGAAGGTTGCGCCACGGAGCTCTGGAATGTCTGGAGTGAGCCTAGGGGGCATTCGAGCGTTTCCGAAATTCAGAAGTTTTAACTTTGTTCAGTCTTGACGACACTAAATATCACCGTCCTGCAGAGGTGATGGTTCTAGAGATTAACACAGTTTAGAGGGAGATGGAATTGGGGTGGGTAACAATGGATGGACTCGAAAATATCGGAGCAGCAGAGAACGAAATAGGCTTTTATCTGAGATTTGTTGAATCCCCCTAGCCCTTTTCAAGGCATGTATACGTCTAAACGAAAACATGGGAAAGGACTGTTGGGGCCCAAATAATAGAATCAGGGGGCAATCCCTAAACGCTGAAGACCAAACAAAAAGACGAACGGTGGGAAAATATGTATACAAATGTTATGTGTTGAAAAGCCCCAGACAGGCGTTTACAAAATGTATCGCAAATATCGCCTCATCAAGGAATATGAGAGGAAATATAGATCATCTCATAGCCTCACCCGCTACCAACCTTTTGACATTTTCACTCGCGGTCACCTTCTCATTCACACTTCCAGCATTTTCCCCCCTCCTTTTCTTCAACACATTCTCAATAAATGCTTCGCCAGCCTTATAACTACTCCTTACCAGCGGGCCTGAAGCACAATACAAGAAACCCATCTCCAGTGCACGCTCCTTCCACAGATCAAACACATCAGGTCTTACATATTCATGTACGGCCATGTGCCTCTTTGTCGGCCTCATGTACTGTCCAAAGGTGACAACATCAACGTTAATAGCCCTCAATGCCCGCAGAGCATCCCACAACTGTGCCTCTGTCTCCCCCAGCCCCAGCATAAACGACGTCTTCGTAATAAGTTCCGGCTTTGCCGCTTTAGCCGCCTTAAGCACACGTAGGCTCTGCTGGAACGACGCCCGACGATCACGCACGAAAGGGGTCAGCGCCTCGACCGTCTCGACGTTATGAGCGAACACGTCCAACCCCGAATTGGCCACGAGGGCCACCATATCGAGATCCCCCGCGTAATCACCCGTCAGGCACTCGACGAGGATATTCGGCGCCTTCTGCTTGATCTTCATAACTGTCTTTGCACAGTGCCTCGCGCCGCCGTCTGCGAGATCATCCCGATCGACAGTAGTCAGCACGACGTATCCCAGGCCCCACCGCGAGAGCGCCTCAGCTGTATTGTCTGGCTCGTGCGGGTCGAGCGGAGGCGGCTTGTTGGATGTTTTCACGCTGCAGAAGCGACAGCCGCGTGTGCAGGTGTCGCCCATAAGCATTATTGTAGCTGTCGCCGCAGACTTGGAGCTGCCGCCCCAGCAATCGGCGATGTTGGGGCAGCGGGCTTCCTCGCAGACGGTGTGCAAGTTTAGGCCGCGGAGGTCATTCTTGATGCGTTTGTAGTTCGAGGAGTCCGGAATGGGCGTCTTGAGCCAGGGGGGGAGACGGGTTATTTCCTTTTTACGGCCGGGAGGTCCTACCAGGGCTGTTTTCAGGGCATATGCTTTCGGCAGGGTCAAGAGGTTCGTCCTTCTTGCCGGAGACAAAGTCGGAGAATGCTGGTCCGGCATTTAGCTTTGTCTTTGAAAGCTGTGGCTGGGCGTTTGACTGTGGGGAGAGTATTGGAGCTAATTGCTTATGGGTGAGTCATGAGGGTAGTCGTTGCATACGATCTCATCGTATCTATTTGGAGAGTAGGTCGGGCCGAAAGTGGGAAGACTAGAAAAGAGAAAAATGGGCGGAGTAGAGAGTTCGGGAGTCTGCCTAGCAGAGGGTGCCTATAGTGGAGATCGCAAAGACACCAAGGTCAAGCAACCGGCCCTTGGAACTTTTAAATACA